CTTAATGAAAATGGGATGAATTCGTGCCTAGCGGAGGTTTCACACCCCATATATTACACAGGCTTTAATCCCAATATTGGCAGATTAGAAAGCCTGGGAATCCCAAAGGGGCAAGTTCTCAGTCTCCATGAGGGACAGCTTCTGTTTTGCCTGCTTTTGCTTTTCAGGGAAAGTAGCTTCCTTTTCCATACTTTGCTTGCACTTGGGGCTGAAAGAGATTTATGCCATGAGGTTTCAATGGGATTTCTGGACCTGTTTTTGTCCAATCCAACGGTTCCTTCTCCGGTGGAAGGAGCATCACAAATGCTATTGGTTTCAAAGGCAAGGATAGTCTGATTAAAATAGAAAAGGGTTAGGATCTTAGCAACGCTTAAATTATTTGCTGCTGCTACAACAGCAGTCGCGATCTCTCTCTTGTAAGCATGGGACTCTGGAGCGGCATTTTAGCCCTTTGGAAAATTGAGCATAGAGCAACTAACTTTCATCTGATAGTGTCTAATGAATCAACGGAAGTCTTTTTCAACCTGGAAATTGCAGAAAGTTTTAGATGCTTGTCAAAATTGCTTGTTGCTCTTTTCAAGCTCATCGGCCAATTCCAACTGGAGAAAACTTTTGCAGCACCCACAGATCCTGAGTATTGCCCCAACTACTGAGTTATTTTATAGACAGAAAAACTGGTTTACTTCGCTTTTCGCCCCCCTCCTCGCCCTCTCAGCAATACATGCTGTTGACTTCCGATCAGATTGTTGGGGAGGGGCTTATTCAAGGCGAGGTGCTTATCTATGATCTCGTTATTGTTGCCCTTGATTTTTTTTGGGGGGGGGGGAAGAGAAGAAGAGTAGGGAGAAGGCTGGTTTCAAAGGTTTGAATAGCTGTCAATCATGCAAGCCCACACGCTGGTTCCTTCCTCTGCCAAACAATATTACACACAGAGAGAGCTATTGCTGCTTCGTTTTATTTATATTATTTATTTGTATCCTGCCTTTATTATTTTTACAAATAACTCAAGGTGGCAAACATCCACCACACCTTCCTATTTTCCCCACAACAAACCTGTGAGGTGAGTTGGGCTGAGAGAGACTGGCCCAAGGTCATCCAGCTGGCTTTGTTTCGTGTTTTTTCTTTTGCAGTTCCCGTGCCTGCCTTAAATAGCACTTTGGCTCGGGTCTCTGGAGACAGATTAATCTCACTTTGTATGTGGATTGTGTGTGTCCATGCACTTATGTATATGTGCGGAAGTACACACACGCAAACTTTTTAAATTATTTTTCTGGCTTAAAAAAATCTGCACCTCGAGTGAATAGCTGAAGAAAAACGTGAAAGGACTTGGGGTTTTTTTTGAAGATCGTTTTTAAAGGGACCTGTCAAGTCAAACCAGAAGAGTTACATCAGAAAGATCCTGTGTTTTTCCTCGAGCAGCCCAGCTCTTCCGCTTGATCTGCTCTGGACTAAAGGATACGACGAGGCCCTCCCTGAATGACAAAACACTCATGCACGCACGCCTTCACACGCGCGCACCTCCCCACACCCGCAAGCGATGCGGCCGTAACAATGCTGTAGTGTTTGGATTGTGCAACGCACGGTCTCTGCAAACACCCCAAACGCAAGCACCCAGGGCAAAAGCTACAGCCCCTTCAGCCGCTTCGACTCACGGCGCTCGAACAGGGCGACCCTTTGACTTTCTAATGAGCGTAATGAAATTACTTGTCTCCTGGAAGCGTTTGCGCATTTCTGTGTTTAATGAGATTCTAACACCAGACTAGCGAATTGTAGCTGGACACCCCCCCCCCCCCCACTTTTCCCGCCCGCTTTCCTTTCGCCGCTCTGGACAATTTAATTACACTGTCCGTGAATTTCCCCTGCTCCTTTTCCTGGGGGAGAGGTGCGGGTGCGGGTGGGGGTGGCTCTCCTCTGCCCACCGCCCGAGGTTGCCAATGGAGGGCAAGGGAACTGAAGTCTGGCTAATTGCCCTTGGGATCGTGTCAGACGGGAGACGTGGGCTCGTTTGCCAGTCTATCTAGGTTATTGCAATTAGCCTACCCGAGGAGGCGAGGCGTTCCCGTTGCTTCCCGAATGCGCCGGCATAGCGAGAGATTATTTGCTGTTTTGGGGCTCCGAGGACAGACCGCGGTCCCCATCCGCTTGGCTACATCAAGCACACCAGACCCGGACTGGGCAGCCGGGCTTCTCCCGCCGATCCCTGGCATCTAACACGGGAAAATCCGCACCTGCGGCCTTCGCCAGCTGCGGGAGCAGAAGCGGTTGAAGTAGCCCAGGAGCAGCCAGAAGTCCCCACCGCCTCCGCGGCCCTCGCCATGGGATATGAGACTTGCTAGACTCTAGCGAGCGCGGTGACCCCCGCTGTGTCGCGGCTCAGTTCCGCCTTCTCGCTACCTTTCGCAAGCTAGCATTTCACTCAGTGCAGGATTGTGGTCTCAGACGCGGATGTCCCGTTTTAGGGGTGGAGGTGGGGGCGCAAAAGGACCGCATCCTGTGCCCCAAAGAGTTACTCCTCGGACTATATGTTTCCATGCCAGGATTACTTTTCAGACGAGCTGTCCTCATACAATTCCCCCATAATCACACTACATACACACACTGTGGTGGAATTTGGGGTAGAAAACATAACTGAAAAATGTTTTGCACGTTGGTAAGTTTTTCCTGTGCCTTTAGGATAGCCGCAGATCTCACTAACAAAGTTCTAAGGTAGGTTGTCTTTATAACTAATTTATACACTGGTAAAACTGAAGCTTACAGTGAACTGTCTGGTGCACTTATTACTGGATAAGGCTGAATCTCGTCCGAGGGATTCAAGTCCCCAGTGGTACAGCAGTAATTTTTTCAATTGCTTCTGAAAGTGTTGATGATGCTATTGTTGCTGCTGTTTGCAATTAAATACACTTTTAGAAATAGGAGTAACTTTTTGAAGTATATCCTGTGAAATTCTTAGAAAGACTGGTACTTCTCTCTCCTCCTTCACAGGAACACAAGTGGATATGCAGAATCATCTCTACTACAGTCACAAAATAATATTTAAAAATAATAAATTCATACAATGTAAAGATTAAAAGGGACTATAAATATATTCTCTAAAATAAACTAGTGGAATACCTAGATAATAAAAAAGGACACATTTTCATCAAATTTGTCACAGTTTCAAAAAATAGTGGCACCATTCTGCAGACTTGACTTCTTCAGAGCCTTGTGTACTTTTGGAGAAATCCCCCGTTGCTACATGCTGGAAATGCATAAATAGGCAATACAGTAACTGTCCAAAGTCTGCTTGAAGTCATTCAGTGAGAGAGTTTTCACACCTCTTCTAATAAACTTGTTGCATTATCACACTATAGTGTTTATCTTTGGGATATGGTGGTCTTCTTCCAAGTATTAACCAGGACAAGTCCTGATTAAGTTATGAGCTCAGACAAGTGCTAGATATTGATAAGTGGTCCAATGGGATAGTTTTCATCCTAAGCATCCAGTGAATTTACAAACCCATAGAAGTGATGGCTATGCAACATTACTGAAAAACAATAGTAAAATGGGTTGCTGTATAAGAAAAACTTTCTCACACAGAGAAATATCCCTGTAGTGAACTAGTGAACCTGGATTGCAACCAGGTTCACTGAGAGGTCACCCAACTTTCTACCACCCATAACTTCTTTTTGAAGTAAAAAGCTTGTTGGAACACATAAAGCACTTATTTCAATGTAGTTGCCAGCTTTTAAAACATTTCCAATTCTTGCACCTTTACATGAAATGAAACTACAGGAACTTCTCAGGTAAAGCACTTCTTAGGAAAGCTACAATCCTGAAAAGCAGCCCAGACTTTCCCTAATCAACCTCTTCATGGATATGTGATTAAAAGTTCCATATTTGCCAGTTAACTGGAAATTCTGGGAACTATAATCCTTAGGTATCTGGAAGGCACTGGCTTCCTCCATGCAGTAATACAGGATTAAGAATTTGCAGCACAGAACTAATAAGAGGGGTGGTCTTTAAATAAGAGATTTTTTAAACACAGTTATAGCTTCATAGCCAAATCCTGCATCAAGACATCTTTTCCTGGATTTCTAGAAGCCTGCAGTATTTTATAAACAACTAGCTGTACCCAGCCACGCGTTGCTGTGGCTCAGTCTGGTTAAATGGAAAAGAAAGAAAAGAGAAAGGTTTTATGTCCAACAGATGGCGCTGTTTTTCAAAAAAGCATGTTTTTACCCGTCACAGGTGTGACATCTATATAATAGTAGGTATATAAAAACACGTGCGTATTCGAATGCAACGTTGTGTCAAAATTTCAAAGCAATCGGTGAAGAACTTTCGGAGATTTAAAATTTTGAACAAACGAACATTTACATTTTTATTTATATAGATTGAATCTAAAGTTCTAGTTGAGAACAGATCCTCCTCCAAATAAATCCATTTTAATCAAAATTTAGTAATACTTTAATATAATTAGCATATGCAATAAGTGATAATAAATTATGTTCACATTTCCTGGAAAGCATTTTCTTTTCTACCCAAGAGGTTTTGCCAAAAGGTGCTGGTGGATGAATCTAAAAGTATTGCATATTTTAAAATTAGGATAAATTATACATTAAAAGGATAGTTCCATTCCCCCGGCTGTAAATAATAAATAAAAAGTTGATTGTCCTTAAAATACTTTCTTGTATTGAAAAGTACCTTTGAAAAAAATGTATTTTAAATAAAACTGTTCCAATAAAAGAGACTATATGTAGCTCAGGATCGAACTGCAGAGTTCTTTATGCTTTCTGAGTTTGGTTGTTTGTTTGCAAATATTTCATTACCCATCTAGGTTCACACTGATATTACTAGTCAGATAATGAAATGTCTGTGAGCAAACAACCAAGCTCAGACAAGCTCCACAAATAAAACTGTATGCTGGCAAAAAAGATATTTATAGTCTAAAATGTTCTCACAGTATGATATGAAATCAAATGAGAGCTCATTTTCAATGTTGTTTACACATGGTTTGCTGTTTAACTTCCTAGGGTTTCTGGAGTCCAGACTTTAGCAGTTCTAACAATGTTTTGCTCCTTGAGTTGTTTTTCATCAGTCCAAGAGAGTGAATGCCCAGTGATTGGAGGAAGTCCATAATCTGGGTCACTTGGAGAAGGTATTCCTGGAAGGAAGAGAAATAAAGGAAGGGGGCGGGGGGGGGGGAGAGAGAAATTGAGTATTCCCACCATAGTCAGAGTGGAATAAACAGTTTTAACCAAGACATCCCATTTTCTGTCACCCATGTGACAGGGGAGTAGCAGGTGCTCAGCTAACTGTGACATTATTTGCTGAGTATATAATGTAGTGTTAAGCTCACTCACCACTTCATCTAGCTCTTGGATAATCTGTCAATGTTTTAAGGAATTGAATACTTGCATTACCCCAGCATGATATTTGGAGAAAGCAGGCTCTCCCCATAGCCAAAGAATAGCATTCTCTCCTGGCTGCCCTTCAGATATATTGGACTTTAATCCCTATTACAGTCACACTGGCTGGGGATTTCAGAAGCCAAAATCTGGAGGGCACTAAGTTGGATAAGCAGAGGTAGCACAATATTCGGTCTTTCCCAATGGATGAGGGCTCCTGCAGAGGCTATCTAGGAAGCATCCTAATATGAATCCCAATGTCTTTTGACTGCATGCAGACATTAAGAATACTGTAGTATATTGCTGGGTTTCAAGAACGATCTTTTGACAGTGCTGCAACGATTTGAATGTGAAGAATCTACAGACCATGTAAGGATCACCTTTGGGCCGGTGCAAGTATATTTCACTAGGAAGCAAACGGGAGGGTGATGTCTGCTCTTGCATATCGGTGTGGATACCAGCAACAGTAGCAAACCGATACGTTAGAAAATCCGAGCTCGATTGAAATACTTATTGGATACCTATTTCGTGTGCTAAGGCAGTGAGTATCAAAGTGAGGTTGCAGGTTGCGAACATCTCTCTCACTCTTCGCGGGAGGGAAGTGAGCTTATAGGGGATGGGGCGCGTGCGCTTGAGGACGGCCATCTGCAAGGTTTTCACAGCCGCAGCGAGGCCACTGCGGCCAAGAAGCCACCCTCCCTCTTTTCCTTTGGAGTGCGCTTGACCGGGATGGGAGGCTCACCCTGCACTTACTTGTGCCCCGGTGGCAGATGATAACCGTCTGGGGCAGGCATGGGCTTTTGCGGCCCGCGCTGCGCAGGGGTAAGTCGGACTGGACCAGCTCGCTGAGGAAGTTGATGTAGCCAATGGCCAGGCGCAGCGTGTCCACCTTGGAGAGGCGCTTCTCGTAGGGCAGAGTGGGGATATGAGAGCGCAGCCCCTCGAAGGCGTTGTTGATGGACTGCATCCGCCGCCGCTCGCGCACGTTGGCCGCCTGCCTCAGTTGCTGCAGCTTGGCCTCGGACCGCACCCGCCGCCGCTGCCGCGCTGCCGCGCTGAAAGCCTTGAGGCTGCCCCTGGGTGAGGCCGCCAGTCCGCAACAGTCGTAGATGAAACTGGCCGACGACGGCGAGAAGGACACCGAGAAGGTACGCGGAGCAGCTTTACAGCACAGAGCGCCGTCGGGCACGCCTTCGAATTCCGCGCCACCGCCAGTTCCGTCGCTGTGGTAACAGTCGTGGAACGGCGAGCCCAGGAAGCCCACCTCTGCCTCCAGGAGTTCGTCGCCTTCCAGAGGGTTACAGGAAGACTGGTCGGTGAAAAATTCCTCGCCATCTAAGTAAGATTCTGAAGAGAAGAAGTCCGGCCCGGCCCGAAAGTGCTCTAGTAGTACCGACTCCATCCCAGACCCGCAGAAAAGTGGCTCGGAAAAGTCGTGAGGGGAGGCCACTTGTGGGCGAGTTGCTGCCTTCTTTTTCGCTCCCCCACCCAGCCTTTGGCTCCTGCTGCGCCGCGACTGCCCCTTTCTGGGTATTTGCGCTCGTCCTCTCTCACCGACTGAAGCTGCAGACTGAAGAGCGGCACGCGAGGATTTTTATGAGTACAACCGCAAGCGCGTGCCATGAACCAATATAGCCAGCCAATCAGTGCTCAGTGGAGGTCCTCCCGTGATCAAAGGGGAGTGGGAATATACACCTAGGCTGTTTCTGGAGGGGGAGCAGAATATACTCTCTTTTTGCGTCCCCGTTTGCCGATTTCCTTTTACCTGTCAGTGCTTCTTTTTAAAAGCAGGCGGCCTAATCCAAAGATGCTTTTTCATGAGGCAACTGGACTTTCTTGTTTTTCTTTGAAGACGTTTCCCTTCTCATCCAAGAAGCTTCTTCAGCTCTGACTGGATGGTGGGGAATGGAAGGATTTATACTCCTGCAGACAGCTGTTCAGTTGCATTCTTTTAGAGGGTCATTAAAGCTACCCGGAGGCTTATCTGTGTCTTCAGGGTCACCTGAGTAGTGCAAATGGGTGTGGAGCCTTCTTGGAACTGTTGAAAGGACCATGTTGTAGACTGGAGATAGATGATGTCGGATCCCTCCCCCTCTGTTGAGAGAGGGCTGTTCAATTTTGACATAGATGGCCTCTTTGACCCCTCTTTCAAACCTCTCTGTCCAAAATGTGGACTTTGCTGTCTTCGAAAGAGTGGCCTTTGTCTTTTAAATGCAGATGGACTGCTGACTCTTGTCCTGATGGGTTTGTTCTCCTATGTTGTGCCATACGTTTATGAAGTTGTTGTTTCGTTTCTTGAATGTACAGATCTGCACATGGCTCACTGCATTGTACTGCATATACCACACTGCTCAGTTTGTGTCTAGGTGTTTTATCCTTGGGGTGGTCAAGCTTCTGCCTTAGTGTATTCTTAGATTTGAAGTGTGCACGTTTGTTGTGTTGGTTGAAAATCCTCCTGAGCTTTTCCGATATTCCTGCAAGGTATGGAATGACTACGTTGCTTCGTTTATTGTTTTCTTCATCTGTTACAGAGGAGCTCCTGCTATGGTAGGTCTTTTTGGAGATTTGATGAAGGCCCACTTGGGATAGCCACACATTCTGAGGGCTTTTTTTATATATATGTATATATATGTATATATATGTATATATATCTAATATATATATTAGATTTTATAAGGGTGGGGAGGGAATGAAATAGGTAGGGGTATAACATAGGGTAAAGAAAAGGGATTGAACCAAAGGTAGGGATAAATACAATAGTGGGGTTACCCCCAACAATAAATCGACGCTTTAGCAAGCAGACCTCTGTCTGCGTATACATGTTAAATGTCAATAATTAATATAATACTAAACAGCTATGCTAGGTAAATGTATCACTAATCATAAGAATGAGAAATTAACCAATACATATCGTTCATTCTACAAATAACAATGATTGATATACTATTAGTAATATATTACTGATTAAATATGATTACTTATGGATATTAATATACTGCTTATTAATTATAATTGCTTATAGGTAAGATCGGAAATATAAGAGTATTCATAACAATCAAATAACATAAAAGTTAAATAAAAAGTATCATTTATCCTATTTAATTTCATAACCTTTTCTCATTCTGTCGTCTTGCTAACCATTGATAGAATTTTTCCCATGTTTTAAAATAAATTGCATCTTCTTTCTCTTTAATTTCTAAAGTTAGTCTATCCATTTCTGCACATTCCAATATTTTTGTAATAGTAATCTGATCAGGTGGTAGATTTTCATTTTTCCAAAATTGGGCAAATGCTATTCTCACAGCTGTTAGTACATGTAATATTAGATATTCATTCTCTTTTCCATAATTAGATCCTAGTATTCCTAACAAAAACAGTTCGGGTTTAAATTCTATCTGCATTTTAGTCATCTTTTCTAACCATATATGAATCTTAAACCAATATTTCTTTACATTAGGGCATATCCACCAGACATGATAATAAGTACCTGGTTTTTGTTTGCATTTCCAACAAATATTTGATACATTTTTAAACATTTTCTCTAATCTAACTGGTGTCATATGCCATCTGTAAAACATTTTATATAAATTTTCCTTATATGCAGCTGCTTTAGTAAGTTTAATATTTCAATCCCAACGTTTTTGCCAATCTTCTAAGTCTATGGAATATCCAAAATTCCTTGCCCATACTATCATTGTTTCTTTTACTTGTTCTTCTTCCATCTTCCAGCTTAACAGGAATTTATAAAGTTTTTAAATCAAGTTTTCGTCTGGTTTTAGAAGTATTTTATCTAGTGGTGTTTGTTCTTTGTAAAATCCCATAGATTTTGTGTCTTTTTCATATCTTGTTTGAATTTGCAAATAAGACCACCATGTTAAATCAATACCATGTTGCTGAAGAGCTTGCCTGTCTTTAAGTTTTCCATCTTTGTCCAAAATGTCTTTATAAATAACAAGTTTGTCATAATTAAGTTTGGATAAGCAAATGCTTCCATTGTTGAAAGCCACTCAGGTATTTTCGTGTAAATTTTATGTTTAATTCTTTCCCACTCTGAAAGCAATACATTCCTTATGGCGTGGTTTTGAAAATATTTATGTACTTTATTTTTCTCGTACCACAAAAACGCATTCCAACCCAATTGCAAATCATGTCCCTCTAGATAAAGAAGTTGTTTATTTCTCAATGTAATCCTTTCTTTCAGCCAGAGCAAAATGGCTGCTTGGTAATAGAGTCTCCAGTCTGGGAGCCCAAAGCCCCCTCTGTCTTTAGAATCTTGTAATAATTTAATTTTAATTCTTGCTTTTTTTCCTTGCCATATAAATCTCATTATTGTTGCATTTAACTCATCAAAAAATTTCTGACTCAGTTTAACAGGGACCGTTTGAAATAGGAAGATTAGCTTAGGTAAGATATTCATCTTAATGGTTGCTATCCTTCCTAACAGTGATAGTTGAAGATTTTTCCACTTTTCCAAATCTGCTTTTATCTGTTTTAGTAATCTCTCATAATTGTCCTGAGGGCTTTCTTGATGTGTTTTATTTCTTTTTCTTTTCCTTCTTTGCTGGTAGGCAGGCCTTCAGCTCTGTGGTGTAGGGTTCTGATAACTCCCATTTTGTGCTCCAGTGGGTTGTGTGAATCAAAATGTAAATATTGATCTGTGTGAGTGGGTTTTCTGTAAATTTCAATGTTAAGGCTTCTGTCTTCCTTAATGTATACAGCACAGTCCAGGAAGGCTGGACTATTTTCCTTAACATCTTCACGTGTGAATTTGATGTATCTGTCCACTGAGTTGATGTGTTTGGTGAACGCTTCCAATTCCTGTGTTTTGATCTTGACCCAAGTAGCGTCCACATACCTATACCAGTGAGTGGGTGGAATTCCTGTGAAGGAGTTTAGGTCTTTGGTATCTCCCTCTTCCATGTAGAGATTGGCCACAATGGGGGACATAGTCTAGCCTCCCTGGACTGTGCTGTATACATTAAGGAAGACAGAACCCTTAACATTGAAATTTACAGAAAACCCCCACACACGGATCAATATTTACATTTTGATTCACACCACCCACTGGAGCACAAAATGGGAGTTATCAGAACCCTACACCAGGGGTCCCCAACAGCTGGTCCATGGACCAGCACCGGGCCACGGCATACCAGAAACTGGGCTGCATAAACAAGCAAAGCCCCATCCATGGGATGCAGGCAGCAAACAAAACCATGCCCCCTCCGTGTCACTGTGTAAGAAATTTTATGAACTGGAATAGCCATAGCAACAAACCAGCCAATGAGAACTGTTTTTTATTAAGACACAGTATTGGCTGTGTGAGGCATGAGATCCAGCCTAGGTCTGGGTGTGTCTCAGTCTTCTCTGTTTTTGTTTTTCTGATCTCCAAGTTAAGAGTTGTTTATGTTCCCCAGAGCTGAATGAAACTGTATGTATCATGTTTATATATATTTTATAGATAACGTTTTTCTAAACTATGCCTCCTGCTCATTTTGAATGTGTGCTTATTTTGGGGGCTTATTTTTGCGCTGGAAAGCTGTAAAAATCTAACAGGTTATGGGCCCAGATCCCACCCAGCCAGCCCTTGCACACAGTTCAGACTGAAGAAAAAGATTGAGGCTCAACATAGAGCTATGACTGCCTGGATTAAGAAATAAAAAGGCAGAAGCTCAGCTGAAGGCTTGCAGGATGGCTGCTGATTTAAAGGAGAGCTCTCTGCCTCGATTGGGACAAAAGAATTATCTTATTTGGGCTGCAAAAATGGAATGCTTCCTGAAGGCTAAGGAGCTCTGGGATATTGTGATTAATCCACCCCAGGGGCAATTAGCAGCTGCAGATCAATGGAGGCATGATAAGGCACTGGCTTACATCATCTTAAATGTGGAAGATGAATAATTCTTAAATGTAGCTGACTTAAAAACTGCAAAAGAGGTTTGGCTGAAGTTGAGAAGTGTGCACGTGAGTGTGTCAGCAATTGTACAGAGCCCGGCTGCTGCCACATGAGAGCGCAGAAGAGCATTTGCTTCACATGCAAAAACTATTTGTTGAATTAGAACAGCGAGGAATGCAGATTCCTTAATCTCAGAAGGTGCTGTTGGTACTGAATAGTCTTAATGAAACATGGGCCGTTTCAGCTGTTTTTGAATGCAGACCAGAACAGGAACTAAGTATGGAAGGACTTAAAGCCTGTTTGATTTCTGAAGAACAGAAAGCCATTTTAGAAGAAGCCACGAGGAGAAATTCCTGAAGTGGGGGGTCCAAGGAGCAGAGAGAGCAAAGCAGTAGACTGACTGTCTGCAGAGATTGGATTACATCTCAGCAGAGAATTACCAAGAGGAAAGAACAGGAAAAAAAGAAAAACTGTTTACAAGGAAGAACAACAGCAAATGGACAAGCTGCTGT